ATAAAACACAATATCTATTTTATTTTATTTTGTCAAACATAAAAAAACAATATCTATAGATTTGAAAATACATAAGCAATGGATGCAAAGTGTCGTCTAAGAACTAATAAATGCAACTTTTCATGTGAAATACTTAAGAGGTTCAACTTTTCATATAATACATGGATTTTTAGACATAAAAATTTGTAAATATTTATGTGAAATTTTCATAAATAGATATGAGTAAAGTAACAGTGAAAATACGCAACTTTTCATCTCAAAATTAACTATAATTTTTTATGCAAAAAAAAAAAAACTTAAAAGATACAAATTTTCATGTAAAAAAACTTAAGAGATTTATATTTTCATATTAATACACTAAATTTTAGATATAAAAAATTGCAAATATTTGTGAAGTTTTAATAAATTGATATGAGCAAGATAAAAACGAAAAGACACAACTTTTCATCTCAAAACTAATAAATGCACTTTTCATGTAAAAAAATAAGAGATGCAACTTTTCATCTAAAAACTGAAGAGATACAAATTATTAAACCATCTCAAACCCTGCTGCAAAAATTACTGCAAAATCGAGTGAAAAATGCATTCATGAACAAACAAAAAATGCATTACTCCAGTCATGAACAAACAAAAAATGCATTGTTTGTTCATGACTGCATTTTTCACTCCATTTAGCAGTAGTTTTTGCAGTATGATTGGAGATGCTCTTATATAATAAATAAATTGTAGATACAAAACTAATGGTAAATATTTATGTGTAGTATTAATAAATAGATATGAGCAAAGTAAAAAGACCCAAGTTTTCATGTTAAATGATGTGTCTTTTTCATTATGAAATTAATTGATTTGTCTTTTCAAACAAATGTTAAATAATGTGTATTTTCATCTTACAGTTTGTTAGTTTTCAAATTTACAAAAATTAATAATGATGTATTTTTCATCATTAAAACTGCATTGATTTTAAAGAATTATCTTTTTCTGAAGAAGTGTCTTTTTATTCTAAAAATTACATATACGAGGTTATAAAAATGTCTACAGACGTTTATATTCATTCTAAAAACTGCATAGCTTTTAATGATTTTTATGTATTTCATATCTATCCATATATATTTCAAAATAATCTTAAAATGTATTTAAAATATTTAGATAATTCGATTTGTTGGATAATTTAATTATTTTATAATATTATAATTAAAATAAATAAATAATATATATGCTTTTTAAAAATAATATTTTATGGTTTATAACATCTTCTGTGTGTTTTTTTGGCTGCTTTGTTTTCTTTTATTTGGGTTTTTGGATAAAACATTTAGACCAATTTAAATATTTTTGTATTAATAGATAAGAATTAACAAAATAGAAACCAAAATAATTATATTTATTTATGCACATTTAAATTTATGCTTGAGTTTTATATATGTGACTTTTTTATTAATTGAATCTCTAATTACATTTAAATGAGAAAATAATGTTGGAGATTTATGTGAATCTTTGAAATCGTGTAAGTGAACTATTACATTTACTTAAATGAAGAATTGCAATTGATTAAATGAAACATTGCAATTGTTGGTGATTGAGCATTTTTTGGTGATGGGTTATTGTTGTAACTAGAATAAGACCTGCGCCTTACGCAGGGAGAATATATATAATTAAAATATAAAATTTTAGTATTGACAAATTTAAAATTTACATATGATTGTTTTTGTATGTATTTTGAAATTTAAGAATTTTGAAATTTTTATATAATTATCTATACGTATGATAAGAAACAATTTTAGTTAGAAATGTAGATCAAATTTTAGAATTTAATGGATCTGATTTCATATATCTTTTCACTTTTCAGTGTTCGAGTGATGAAAAATAAATGGAGTGTCACTGGGGTTGATTGGTAGAGTATTAGCAAGTTCCCTAATGTTTTTTAAGAAACAATTGGTAAAATATTTGCATTTAAAATATATAAAGTTTCAAAACTAATTTAATATAATTTATTTATCTGTCTAATAATATTAGAAAATTATATTTTATTACAAATTATTATTTTTAAAACAATATTTTAAGTTTTTCAAATACAAATAAACAACTTAAAATTAATTATAGTAATGATTTAACATAACCATTATGATTTTAAAAAATTAAAAAAGTTAAAAATTAACAAAGTAAAAATTAAGTCAGTTTTATATCATGATTTAACAATTTAAAAATTAATTATGGTTATGAGAAGTTTACGTTCACGTGTCAGTCCTATTTATCTTCCATTTTTCTCTTGCTATGTTTTTTTTATATTTTGGTTATTACTCGATATAAATATTTATTTTGAATTTTATTCTCATTTCATTTGTTTTAGAAAATACTTAAGATTTAAAATAATTAAAGAGATACATACTTAGGTTAAAATCTGCACTTAATGCACAATAAGTATTTTATATTTATTATTTATTTTATATTTTTATGCATATTATAAATAATAAAATAATAAATATATATTAAATAACTAAGAAATCAGTTAATATTATGTAATAAATTGGCGTATGCATATAAATTTAACTATTACTCTTGTTTATTCACAATTAGGGTAAATAAATCAAAATAATCAATCTTATATATTGTATATGATATATAATTAATTTTAAATGATATAAACATAGTAATATAACACACTTTTAATATGGATATTTATTAAATGAGGTTTCTACTCATATGATTTTATAATTATTTGCATATTTGTGTAAAAAAAGTTTACACCAACGAATATTTTTTAATGTGAGATGTTTAGTAGTTTCAATAATTTATAATCATTTTAAAAAAACAATGACATATTTCAAAATTAAAATATTAACTTTTCAATATATGTTCAAGGCAAATATCAAAATATAAGTATGTATTTTCATATGATGTATAGTTTAATTAAAATGATATTAAATATATATCAACTAAAATTATTTCTTCATATGGTCTTATAATCATTATATTTTAGTATAGAAAAACAATTAAAACCTTGATCTTAAAAGTTTATGTGGGACTTTTAACAGTTTTATTAATTTATACTCATTTTGAAAAATTCGAATACAACATACACAAAAAAAATCTAGATTTTTATTATATGATTAATGTAATTATGTAATTTATTTTAATAATAAAGAAATAAACAAAATGAGAAAATATACAGATTGTTATCAAATCTTTATTGTTTAAAATCATTAATTGTCATATATATATTTTGATCACATTAGGTAATTCCGTAGGTTTTATTTAAGGAAAGTATGCGAAACAATAAATATTTGATATATGTGACCAACTAAAGCCTACGGAATATTATATTGCTAGAGAATATAATTTTTAAACTATACATTATATCACATGCTCTAGAATCCTTGGGATTTGAAATAGAAGCCAAAGAGCTATGCCACGTAGGATTGGGGTTATTTTTAATTCTTACAAACTTAAGGTTACAACTTTTTAAATGATTCTCAAATAATATATAGGGGATCATTGGTCATGAACCATTGTAATTGTTGGTAATTGTAACATTCATTTATGAGTCCTTTCAACTTTTGGTGTTAGTCATTGCAACTTTTAGCTAACCATTGAATGTTTGATTATCAATTGTTACAGTCCTTAATCTTCTGTATAAGGAATTATGGGCAAAGACAAATCATAACTAAACTAACAACATATAAATAGAAGAGGTATATTTTAATGAGGAAATTACTAGAATGATACACAAAAGTATGTATATGACTAGAATAGTATACATTTTCTAAAAATTACTAGAATGTTTTTAGACTCCTAGTAAATTACAATAAACACCCTTGTTTAATTTTGTTACTATTGATACAAATTTTAATTATTAAATCCACATCATAATTTTGACAATCCACGTCACTAACTAATTTGTGTCATCAGTTACACTGGAAAATCAACAGTCCCATATCTCCTGTGAACAAAAAAAAAGTCTTAATGTCACATTCTTCTCCGTCACAACTCTCGTTAAACCCTAACCGATTACGAAATCACGAAATCCCAAAATCATCTTCGTCACAACTAATACTCTCGTTTCAAACAGTGTTTCCGATATCTTAAATCATCTTCGTCGACCTCGTTAAACCCTAACCGTCTCCGATATCATCTTCGTCGACATCCTCTTCTCCGCAAAAGTTTCGACGTAATCGTATCTACGACATCATCTTCTCATCTTCTCTGGTATGTTGTGCATGAGTTTGATTTACGTCGTGTCTGAGTTATAGATTATGTTGTTACTGAGTTATTGTATAGTGTGGCTGAGTTGAGTTTGATTTATGAAGTGGCTGAGTTATTTATTATGATCCGACTGAGTTATTTATTATGTTTTGGCTGAGTTATTGATTACTGTGGCTGAGTTATATATTATGTATTGGCTGAGTTATTTATTATTTATGATTTGGCTGAGTTATTGATTATGTTTTGGCTGAGTTATTGATATGATGGTTGGGTTATTTATTATGTTGTTGTTGAGTTTTGTTTCTATTGCGGCTGACTTATCTATATATGTGTTTTAGGATCAGATGGCTATTTCTGAAGATCAAGCGCGAGATTATCCTCCACAACTTTACGCTGAAGGGGCTTCTAATCTAGAAAATAAAGAGATTAATCACAATCTGCAGATGGGAGATTTCCCTAACGTCAGAGAAGCAATAGGACGGGATGTGTGGGATCACATGAGGCAGGGTCCTCTTGGAATTATTGTGAAGCTATTTGAACGCAAAAGCGTGTGGTCTGGTAGGACTGCCCACTATCTACTATGTCGACAGCTTCGAGTATACTTGAAGGAGATTTGGAGTCTAGTTGGTGATGAACCTATCAGGTTTAGCTTACTCGAATTTGGATTATATTTTAAATGCAGCAAAAATGATGCGTACCAGGTTAGCCAAAGAGCAGCTCTGCTACAGCTTTTAGGCTTCTTAGAGGATCCTTCATTGGCTTCTTTTCTCATTATCTCAACCAAATTTGAGTACACAATGGGATTAGATTCCCACATCTCCTCTAATCTCTGTATCAATTCAATAGACATAATAGGGTTAAAAAAACTGATAAAATCAATAATACTGTAATAAAAACGAGGATGGAGTAAGGAACGAGGTCCATTCATTCGAGAGAAAGACAATATGACCCAAATGACCCTGAATGCAAGGTAAAGATGTAGACCCCGTCCATGTTGTCTCGAAAGAGATGAAAGGTTTTGGGCCTCCTAGCTAATTAATTACTCGTTAAAATTTTTTTTTTTAACTATCTATTTGCATTTTTTTAACAAGAAAAATAATAACCAAACTGAATACGAGCATTGAAATGATGGTGTATAAGTGTATACATATATAAGTGTATATATATATATATTGAATTGGTATTATTAGGAGTATTATATAAAAAGACAAGTTTAATTACTTGGATATTTTGATCAATGTCTTGTCGGAGAACAGCCATTGTCGGGCCAATCTTATCTGCAATCAATCAACAAAGCTTCAGGACAGCCATTGGTGGAGCTATTTATGCTTTGAATTAAGAAAATTAATCAGTACAGTGAGCTAGATTCTGAAGAACATTACTTTTTAACTTTTTAACAATATATTTACCCAAAAATATTGAAAAAAGTTATACAAACAAAAAATACGTAACATTTAGTAATATATTTTGAATATGTACCAAGAACTTGGATGATTAATTTGCAAAATGAGAGGAGAGGCTTTAATGGTAGATTGATGATGTTGTTGGCTTCTATTTCAGTGGTAACTATTGTGGTCTTGGCGATAGAAAGAACAGAGAGTTCTTCAATGGCGGATCCAATCTCTGTCATCTTCTTTTTCTTCGTTGCCTCTTCCATCTCACATCTCTTTCGTTTCATCTTTTGATAGTTTTTCTCTTGATTCCCGAGTATGTGCGCGTGTGTGTTGTGTGTATGCCCCTGCCAAACCAACACGAAAGAACCAGGCTATTTATCATTCCGGCTATTGAATCATTCCTTTTCTCAATAAAAAATTTCCGGAATAGTTGTTAATAGTAAATTTGTATGTACTAAATAAATTATCCAGATTACCAGATAGCATTAATGATTTTGTTTCCAATCACGACCCACGATTAAACCTCATATCTGGTAACCCACTAACCCATATAGTATAATTTAGTTCAAATTTAAAATTCTCTAAAAAAAAAATGTAAATCCGAGAAGAATTCGCTATCAACATGCGACTCAACATTAGTTAATCCGATAAATACCATAAAAATGTGATGGTATTTCAAAATGTGATTAAATTACAATTTAATTATACATAATGCTTACAATACTATTTTATTTATGGTTTTAAAATTTGATGAAAATTTACCATTTAAAGAAAACGGTGATAAAAAGTCAAGATTGAATAATATGATTTAATATTATTTTATTTTGGTTACTGGTAGCTACAAGTATTTTTCTTTCTTCTAATTTAAAATTTTAATTTTTTTTAATAATTTTATTTAGTTTTATTTTAAATCGTAATCTTGTTATGAAAAATCAGGTAGAATTCTTTGAAATAGGAAATGTCAAATAAAAATTAAAACTAAAAAGATTTCAAATATTTAGTTATATATTTATAAATAGAACGTAAATTAAAAATGAATCCATGTTCTTTAATACTTCCTATGTTTTATTATAAATGTCACTCTACATGTGTGCACATGGATTAATGAAACAATTAATTTTACATATTTTCTATATAAAAACACAATTACTCATATACCTAATCATATTTTAACCAATAGAAAAATAAATTACATAATAAAATTAATAAATTTTAGATTGAAAATCGAAAATGACACTTATTTTGTAACGCAAAAAAATTATCTACAACAACACTTAATATGAAACGGATGAAGTAGTTAAGATATATATTATTTGGTAATTAATTTACTAATGGTTCAACTACGGTTGATCAAATAAACGATAAACCTACAACATAGTTTACATATAGCCGGAGTCCGATGACATATTGGTATTTGCCTCTAATTTTTTTAGATATTTTGTAAATATGTGTATATCCCTAAATTATGTAACTATTTTTGTAAAGTTGTCCTTAAACAATATTTAAGACCCTCAAATTTCAAGATTCGGCCATGTGTTTACATTAGTATATGATTGAGTTTTCTCTTGGGGATGGTGGTGTGATTAGTGATTAGTATTTATTGTGTTGGACATAACTATCGTTATTAGTTCATGGTTTTAATAAGATTTTTATAATTCATCTAGTTATATTATTGTCTCCAATAGTTTTAAAATTTCATCTGTTTCTTAAAAAGTATATTATCTAGAATTTGGTTAAAATGTACTATTTTCATGTTAAACAATTGTCTATTATTGTGACGAAAATTCTCATAATAATGAATATTCAAGTCATATCAATTAATAATTATGAATGTAAAATTATTAAAATTAACTAACTGTGTATAGTGAATAACTAAATTTCAGTTTTGTGTGACTTTATTTAAGTGTAAAACCAAATTATTTTGACAATTTCTATCTTATTTTATTTAGTTTGTTTTTATTTAACTAGACATGCCACCTTATCAATAAAACATTGCATATATACTTTCTTTGTTTCAATTTATTTGATGACTAAAGAGAATATTTTATTTATAAAATAATTGATGTTTTCATTATACTAGAGAGAATTTAATGTACTTTGAAATTTTTAACCAATTATAAAATGCTTTATATTTATTTGTTGAATTAATTTTTAATGATATTTTTTCTCTAACTAAAAATAAATTATATACATTTTTAAAAAAATCAACGTGTAAATTTTTAGGCACCTTATGTATTGA